GTGTACCTCCATGGCCTGAGAGACTATTTCCTTCTCCAGATTGGGGAAGTTTTCAGCAATTATTTTCTCAAAGAGACTTTCTATCCCTTTTTCTCTCTTCTTCTTCTGGTGCCCTAAAATGTTCTGTTTGGATTGATCTCACATTTCTCTTATTATTCTTTCATCCTAGAGAACCTTTTTTCTCTCTGTGCCTCAGCTTCATTGTTTTCCTGTTCTCTAATTTCTATTTCATTTACTATCTCCTCTACCTCATCTAATCTACTTTTAAATCCCTCTATTTTTTTTTCATTTCACATACTGTATTTTTATATTTCTATCACTTTCTTGAAGTCCTCCCTGAGGTCTTGAATATTTTTCTCTCACTGTGGAAGGATCTTTATGATTTTTATTTTGAAATCTTTATTTAGAAGATTGGTGGTTTTAATTTCACTTATCCCTCTTTCTGGTGTTTCAATTCTTGTTTGCACAGATGATGTTTTTGCCGTTTCTTTCTAGTGATTCCTATGGAATAATAACTTTGTGTAGACAGTGCCATCTAGTGCCCTCTACTCTCTGGAGCCACCCAGCACCTGTAGTGATGGCGGAGGTTGGAGGCAAGTGCCACTAGTGCCTGCCAGGAAGAAAGAGCTCTTTCCTCCTTTCTGGCTGCAGTTCCTGCCTCCACTTCCAGGGTCAATGGGCTGATCATATAAGAACTAGCCTCTGTGTTATGCCCCTTTAGCTGTTGTATGCAGGGCTACCCTCCTGCTGGCCTGGCAGGATGGCAGGAGCAGCAGCTGTGCAGACTAGTGCATACTGGGTGGAAAGAGAGGCTGGCTGCAAATCACAATGGGGGGCCTTGGGGCTGCTTTGCCAGCCAGGGAGATTCAGTGTCTGAAGCTCCTGAAAGTTCCCAACCTGCTCGGATGAGTGTGCTGGGACGATTTTGTCCACCTGCTCTTTCTCCTGAGCAGCAAGTTCTGTGTAATCTTTGCCCCTCTAGCACCCCTCCAACTGTTGGGATGTCTTTCAAAGTGCATGCCTTTCTTTTGTCCAGGAGTTGCCGGTTGAGTGCACCTATTCTTCACAAGCAGCTGGAATCTCAGTCTCTATGAGTATTCTGCCTGTCTTTGCTTTCCAACACCTCTAATCTCCAGAGCACCATATAATGTAGGTTTGTGCTCCCACAACAGATCTCCATGGGTGGGTGTTTAGCAGTCCTGGGCTTCTACTGCCTCCATGCTCCATTTTTTTTCCTCCCTCCTGTGATCTAGGGTGGGGAGAGTGGTTGGATCCTGCTGCTCGGTGGCTTTGGTATTGTACCCTTTTGTGTGAGGTCTTCTCTTTTCTCCAGGTCTAGGCAGTCTGTTTTGCCATCTCCTGGTCACACTTTCTCACTTAGTTGTATTTTTGTTTTATAAGTCTTTTGGGGAGGAGGTTTCTGCCTCACTTTTCATACCTCCCTCTTTTTCCCCTCTAATCGATATGATTTTTACCTTTCACTAACCACATTTTGTTAATGTGGTGTATCTGAAAAACTAATGGGTCAGAGAATAAATCAAAGACAACTCAAAAAGTATCTTCAGACAGATGACTGATTAATTTACAGATACTGATAGATTTTCAGATATTAAACCATCTTTCCATCCCTGAAGTAATTCCCACTTGAGCATGGTTTATGATCCTTGTAATGCATAGTTGAATTGGTTTTCTAATATTTTGTTGAAGATTTTTGCATCCATATTCATAGGAATATTGACCTGTAGTTTTTTGTTTTGTTTTTTTCTGGTACTGTCCTTGCCTGATTTTACTATCAATGTAATGCCAACCTCATAAAATAAGTTTGGTAGTGTTTGCTCCTCTTCTGTTTTTTGGAAGAGTTTGAGAAATATTGGCATTTATTCTTTAAATGTTTGGTAGAATTCAACAGTGAAACATCTGTACCTGGACTTCTATTTGTTGGGAGGTTTTGATTGCCTATTCAGTTCCTTACTAGTAACCAGTGTGTTAAGATTTTCTATTTCTTCATGATTCAGTCTTGGTAGGTTATACATTTCTAGGAATTTATTCATTTATTCATTTCTTCTAAATTGTCCAATTTTTTGGTGCATAATTGTTCATAGCAGTCTCTTATGATCTTTTGTATTTCTGTGGTATCAGTTGTAAATTCTCTTTCAATTGTGACTTTGAGTCCTCTCTTTTTCTTGCTGAATACATTTAAAGGTTTTTTAATGTTTATCTTTTCAAAAACTAGCTTTTGGTTTCATTGATATTTTGAGTGTCTTTTTTAGTCTCTATTTCATTTATTTCTTATCTGATCTTTGTTATTTCTATCCTTCTACTGACTTTGTTCTTGGTTTGTTCTTTTTCTTCTTCCTTTAAGTGTAAAGTAAGGTTGTTTCTTTGAGATTTTTCTTGTTCCTTGAGGTAGGGATTTATTGCTGTGAACTTCCTCTTAGAACTACTTTTGCTACATTTTTTAAGTTTTGGTGTGTTGCATTTCCACTTTCATTTTTTGGAAGGTATTTTTTGAGTTATCTTTGATTTATTCTTTGACCCATTATTTTTTCAGTAGTATGTTGTTTAATCTTCACATATTTGTGAATTTTCCAATATTGTTCTTGTAATTGATTTCTAGTTTCATACCATCGTGGTCAGAGAAGATGGTTGATATTATTTTATACTTCTTAAATTATTAAGACTTGTTTTGTGGCCTAACATATTATCTGTCCTGGAAAATATTCCATATACATTTAGAAGAATGTGGTTCTATTGTTTTTGGTGGAATGTTCTGTAAAGATCTGTTGAATCCATGTGGTCTAATCTATTGTTTAAGGCCAATGTTTCCTTATTGATTTTCTGTCTGATGACCTATTCATTGATGAAAATGGGGTATTAACATCACCTACTATTATTATCTTGCCACATAGCTCTTCCTTTAGGTCTGTTAATAGTTGCTTTATATATTTAGGTGCTCTTATACTGGGTGTATAAATATTTACAAATGTTATATCTTCTTTTTGGATTGACCCCTTTATCATTGTATAATGACCTTCCTTGCCTCTTATTATGGTCTTTGACTTAAAGTATAATTTGTCTGATAAAAATATATCTGCACCAGCCTTCTTTGGGTTTCCAATTGCATGGAATATCTCTTTTCATCCCTTCACTTTCAATTTGTGTGTATCCTTATATCTGAAGTGAGTCTCTTGTAGGCAGCATATAGATAGGCCTTGTTTTTGTTTTTGTTTTTATCCATTTAGTCACTCTAAGTCTTTTCACTGAATCATTTAGTCCATTTACATCCAAAGTACTTATTCATGGTAAGGACTTATTGACATTTTATTAATTATTTTTTGGCAGTTTTATGATTCCTATATTCTTCTCTTGCTCTTATGATTCAATAATTTTCTGTAGTGGAAAAGGGTATTTTTAAGGTGGAAGAGACTTGTGCCTGTTCATATGTTAGAATAAGATAGAATAAAGTGGTGCAAAGGGAGAAGTTGAAGATTGATGAGAAAGAAAAAGGTGTCTGATTTCAAAGGAGAATGTAGGGAAGGGTTCAAGAACCAAGGCAATAAGATTAACCTTGGAGAGGATATGGGACATTTCTTCTTGAGACAGGATGAAAGGAAATAAGAATGGGGATAGGTGGATATCTTTGTTGATTGATAATTTAAGAGTATTTTCACCTACAAATGACAGAAAACTTCACTTACAATGGCTTAGACAAATTTGGCTAATTTTTTTCACAGAATAAGAAATCTGCCACTATTGGTTCACTAGATCAGAAGTATTAGGGTCTGCATTTTTGTAATGCTCTTGACCATTCCCTCATAGTCAGTGGTGTTAAAGCTCCTGACATCAGGCTTTCAACTCATAAAGAAGGAGGAAGGGCAGTTTCCATTAATCCTCTTGCTTTAGTCAGGAAAGCAAGCTTACTTAGAAGTTTCCCAGCAGACTTCACTTTTATGTTTCATTAGTCACAGTTGTGTCACATGACTATCCCTTTCTGCAAGGGAGTCTTAGAAAGTGAATAAAATGAATATTTAGCTCTATCAGTATTTCAGTGGTGTGGTTATAGAAGCCTGTCACTGGAAATGGGTGTTGAGTTAGCTTATTAATCAACAGTGTCTGTTACATGGAGTAGGGAAACTGAAGCATGTTGTACATACCATTTGTCTGAGAAACTGAAGTATATTGTACCTACATTTTGTTTGAGAAGAACCGGCAAAGTAATACGCTGGTGGAGTGGAGGTGGATTGGTGAAGTGCAACAGGCATGTTTTATGGAGCTGGAAAATAAGGTTTAGAATAATTTCAGTAGGGTATGGAAAAGGGAACTGGATAAGAAAATGTAAAAAGTTGGCGTCCAAAGTCATTAGTGTAATTCCAAAGTGTTCCATGATCTCATTCCAAACTATGATATATAAATTCTTATGAGTCCCACCTGTTGTGAGGATTAAATATGATTATATGAATTATTTTTAGCATAATTTTTGGTATGTATTATATAGTGTTCACTTGTTAGGGTCCTCTTGCCCTAAGCAAGTAAGTCAACTTGCTGCCATTTAGACAAAGCTTTCCTACCTACCTTTATATATTGCTCACTATTTCCCCATCTAAAGAACCCCTCTACACACACACACACACACACACCACACACACAGAATATATATATCCTACCAATTTTTCAGGAAAATATATCCTTTCTTTAATTACTAATATAGCTTGAAGGGACTCCTCATTCTTATACTCCCTTAATATTTATTATTCATCCCACTCATTTGGCACCTAAAATATACTCTCTAATTCCTTTAACCAGCAGTTATTTTATTGCAAGTTGTCTTTCTATAGGACTATTGTTCGTTTTCTCAACTTCATTTTCTTGAAGGCTGGACCTTATATCTTTTGTTTTTTTATTCTTTTACAATAGACAGAAGCACTCCTAAGATTTGGTGCCATGTATATGAAAGGTGCTCAAAATATGTTGATCAGTTAGGTCTTACCCTTATAATTTAGGTCAAGGCACACGTCTGAAAGCAACAAAGTTATTCGTTTGACATCTTTTACTGACATTTCTGAATGCCAGAAGCCCCAGCTGGATAGAAGATATACTTATACAGAAGAACCTTTGGTAAGTATTTTAAAGACTGATCAATAATCTGATTCATCATTTAACTGATGAATGTCCCCTGATTTAAAATTTTTTAATTGATTTGCCATTGTATTTTTTCTTTATTAATCAATACCTTTATTTTTTCCTTGCAAAATGATTTTTATACAAAAATTTCCTCTGGATTTCCTTTTTGAGAACCATGTTACTATATACTTAAATTGATTACTGTTTTCAAAAACAGCTGTGTTCTGGTTTGGGTATGATGACACCTCAGGCACAAGATAAGCCTTCTAGGATTTTTATTAAATTTTTAACACTTGATTAAAAGAACAATATTTGATGTGTTTTGGAAACATAGAATTTTTTATAAAGCAAGATTATTTCCAGGATGTGGCTACCTTGATAATGTGGATTTAATACACCAGTTCTAGATGATAGTTGTGCATTCCCTGAGCATAGTACTTTAGGCGGAAGCCTTGGTAATCCCAATATAGTCTGAACACCTAGATAGAATTTGGTGTAACTTTATTATACTAAGCAAACAGTTTTCCTTTTCTTCTATTTAGGATTTTATTCTTACCAAAGTAATTTTTTATTTTTGAATGCCAATGATTGAATATTATAAAAATATTTAATTCTAACCTCAGAATTTGTTTAGTTGGGGGACAAAGAGAGAGGCAGAGAGACACCTTAACAATGAGAAAGCAAGAAACTTACTGAAACCCAAAATTGTTTATGGCCACGATTAAGATTACAAAGGAGTCTGAGTTCCACACAACAAATGGCAGAGTTCATGTGAATAATAGATGCCTTTTGTAATCTGTAGTCACTCCCATGCTTGGAGAAATAGCCAGCTTTCTGTGTTTCACAAATGGTGTTAGGGCTGCCAACATATTTGGCAGAGAAGCTCAGAAATCGCAAAGTTTTATTAGAACATTTACACTGTAAAGGCCATGACCTGTGTGGCGTTAGACTGTCCAGAGAGGTACCCCATTAAGAACAGTTAATATGCAGCATTGAGAGGCCTTGAAGATAGTTCTTTTTATAACGCTCATGTAGCTATTACAGCAGCACCTCAAGGCTAAAATAACAGTAGAAGAGACCACCAACAGAGATTTGGAAGGCTCCTAAAATGGTATCACTGTGCCTGAAACATGAAAGTAATTGAGGTTGGGAAGTCATTTTAATGTTAAGTTTGAAATGAGATTGGTTTATAACAGAATGAACTCTGCTGCTATAGTTGGCTCTGTAAATGCATCTTAAATGACAGTCAGATGCAAACATACTGCATTAATTACTTATATGGTACAAAAATAAAATAAAAATCCAGTGGGAAAATGACAGCCTGACAGAATTTATGAAACCCTGTTGTTGTACAATGCCATAAAAAAAATTATAATGTCTCTGTGTGGATAACGGACTTCTGTTTTTTAATCTAGGTTAAAACCATGGCAGATGTTGCCTTCGGAGGATTTGACATGGAAAATTTATTGCAATCTTTGTATGTAGAAAATAGAGCTGGATTTTTCTTTACTAAATTCTGTGAGCATTCAGGGAACAAGGTAGAAAATAGTTATTTTAAATCTAATTTTATGCATTTACTTTATTTAACAGTAAGAGGTTGAGAGATAATTCAATGCTCAAGTAATGATATTTGACAATAGAATTCCCATTTCTTCTGGTAAGAAGTTTTTTACTAAATATTTATAAAAAAATTAAACATCTCAATTATAATTCGTTTGGTTCACTAGCCTACTAAAATTATAAAGGAGAGTAAAGTGCACATAGACAAAAGTTGACTAGTATCATTAAAAAGTTTTTTATGTAATTTTGTGTCAATGTAATAAATATTAAATTCAGAGTTGATATCTCTGAATCCTTTAATTTTTATTTCAAGTAATTCTAATATTCTGGTCTGGTATGATATACATTTCTCCTCACATATATCAAAATACCTCCAGATTTTTTTGTCTCATGCCAGAAATGTGTGACTACTCTTTGTTAATTAGAACACATACTATTTTAAAGACCAATTATGTGAGAAGCATACACGCAAAAATATAATGTTTGAATGACAATACTAATAAATATTTTGTATGTAGTTAGTTCGTGATAGAAGATAAAACTGTCTTAAGTTGAACTTGATTTATGGTAACACCAATAAACTAAACAATTATTTATATTTGAAATTAGAGGTTCGTAGAGCTTTAATAATCGGGTGGTAATAACTTGTGTACTTTTTCTGTCCGCAGTTATGGAAGAATAGTGTGTACTGTTGGTTTGACCTACAGGCTTATCATCAGCTTTTCTACCAAGAAACACTTCACCCTTTTAAAATATGCAAGCAAGCCCAAGTAAGTAGTAAATAATGTTGGTTCAATGTGAAGTTCTAAGTACACAGAGAAATGAAAAGTTTTATCCAGCTCTGAACAAGAGAAATCTGGGAGTGCCTGCAAAAAGGGAGCAGTTAAATTGCTGCCATGGGATTACTTTATTTAGCCATCAGCAGAATATTGTTTTATAATCTGATTTGTGGGTCCTCAGTTATCCCCATTTTATTTGTTTGCTTTATATTCTCTTTGTCCCAATTACATGTTCTTCCAATAAAGGACATCTTTTTTTCTAATTTATGCCTTTTAGTTATAGTTATGAGTGATTTAAAAGAGAGGACTTGCAATAAATCATTGATGTGATTGGGAGCAGAGAGGCATTGACCAAAGTTTTTCTCTGAGCTTCCTGCAGAAATCAACAGTTGGATATACTTAGGCTCTTGACCTGTCTAAAGGGCAGGAAAGGATATTGACTGGCTCTGTGTGGTGTAGGCCCCATGTCATCACCTGGGCTTCTGTGCTATACACTATATAAGACAGAAGGGAGTGAAGAATATTTCAAGACCACTCCAAAGCAAAATAGCAGAGGAAGTAAAATAGAGGAGGAAGAACAGAGGATTCTCTCCAAAGGAAGACAGAGATAGTAGCTTCATTTTGTGGGGAAAAGGAAAGGGAATAGAATATGGCTCAAGCTGATAGATCTTTTCAGTTTTTATTCTTAGGATTTTCTGATCTTTAATAGAGAGAGGTCTTCAAGCCTAGAAATCTGCTAATCACTTCTTTATCTGTTGACTACTTAAGTGGTTCCTACAATCTGAAATAACCCCATTCCAGAGAACCTCTCCCAGAACAATGTGGAGGAGATTAGCTTTGTCATATTATTTATTATCTTATATTCTTAGGACATCAGAGAGTACTATTGGATGTTTGTTGTTACTTCTACCACCCTGACTCTGGCATTAATAACTCACTTTGTAAATCAACTGATGGAGCTTTGTGCTCTACTGTGAGAATAAGAGCTTCATCTCCTACTAGCCAAGATATTGGTTCTTATGCTTGCTAATCTTTTACCTGCAAGTCTCTATATACCAGCTTCCTCTAACCTGTTGTTCCTGCGGGCTAAAGTACCATTTGTTATTTTTATTATGTTTTCACTACTACAAAGCATACTTCTCCAAAAATCTTCAGCTGCTCAATTAAATGGGGTTTTATTTTGTAACTGCCATATTTCCATGCACTTGTAAAAGTGGAAATTCTGCTTGAGCTTGGTAGACATCAATTCCTAGTAATGGTATTATTCATCTAGCTCTAAATGATCATGAAACAAAATACAGTTAAGTTTTGGTTATTCTGAGGTGGATTATTGTTTCAGGATTATCGAGGCCCAGAAGCTTTTAATCCATTCCTAGGATACTTTTTGGGGAATCAAAGCAGGTTAGGTGAGGGAGCAATGGAGAAGTTTCCTTTATGTGAATAAGAGGAAATGAAAGGAGCAAATGTGATATTTTGTAAAGTTTGCTTTTTGCATCTATCGTTACTTTCTTATTTTTTGGTTAGTGGAGCAGCTGTCTAAATTGCTTTAGGCATTAATTATCCAAGATTTTTGTTGACTCCAGATACAAAAATTGCCTTTATAACCATCAATCCTATAGACTTGTCTGACAGTATGACCTGTCATTCATTTCTTTATATTAGAAATGCTTTAAGGCTTTCTTAAAGGATACATTTACAATACAGATCTTTGGATAAATAATGCCAGTAACAGAGTATGATCAGCTGGCACTGTTAAAGTCACTATGAACTTGATTTTATATTGTTCTTAAACAACTGACAAACTGTATAGTAGGAGACTGAGAGTTTCAAGAGACTTAAATGCTTTTCAGTATGCTAGTAGGCAAATCATCTTGAGGTTTTATTGACTCATGAAGTATTGCAGAAATATCTGTAGGCAAACTAGATGGGTGGTCAGTGACAGGGATTTAGTGTGATTAACTGTGGTTCAAGAGTTTGAACTACAGGCTTGGACACACCCTGTAGCTTTTATTGCACATCTTCAAGATAGAATAATGCAGTTAGAAACTAATTGAAATGGTCTTGACAAAGAGAAAAGGAATCACCAGCACAGTGCAGAAATAAAGTCTTTGACTCTAGCAACAGCTTGCCAGCAGATCATCTTTCAACGCTAAGATTTTGGAGGCTAGATTGCTGCCATAGATAGTCCTGCTGCTTTTTTGACATTACACACTTGCTTCAGTGATAGAGCACTACAGTAGAATGAAGCACATCTGTGTACCACTCTTTTCTCATTTCTTCCAACTTTGTAGAAATCTTTCATACTGCATCCCCCAAAAACCTATGCATTTAGAATTTACCAGTCTCCACAGCATATATATATATTTCTTATAAATCTCATAAAATTGGGATATTTAACAAACTAGTAAGCATGTATGATACATAAATATTGTTCATGGTTACATATACACACACACACACACACACACACACATGCACAAACACACAAAATTTTTAAAAAATGAGAAAGAGAAAGAGAAAAAAAGAGTAAAAAAAATAGAGCCCAGAGAACAATGTTGTGGAGAATGTAGGAATGAATGAGTGGAGAGGGTAGGAAAGAATGAGATGGAAATGAGGAATACAAGGATTCTGAGGTAAATCCACAGAAAATTTAAAGTGTAAGATTTTTGCCTTATGGAATTGAACATCAAGGTAACAAATTGTTATTTTAATGTGTCACCTAGATCAGAGGCTTTATGACATAGAACGAAAAAACATCATAGAACATGGAATTGGAAAATATGAATTTAGGTCACATTATGCTAGTTATTAGCTGGGTAAACTTGGTCAAGTCAGCCCATTTAATAAGCCTCTGTTTGTCTTCAGAAAGTAGGTGGTAATAATGTTTTACATCTTATTTTCTCCTACTGGTTTGGAAGTTGCATATTCTATTTCACTTTTCCTCCCTTACAATTTAAAAATATGTATTGTAATTAACAAAGTCTACAATTACTCATTACCTTTATCCTCCTTTCAAACAATCCAAGGACATTAAAACAGTTTAATTCCATCACACGTTATGCATTTTATAGATCATTTTTGTATGACCTTTTAAATTTTGTTTTTCTATCCACCAAAGCAGTTGTCCTTTTTTTAATGCTGTTGGTGCTTGTGTAGATATATTCACACACAAATTTCTTGCTTATCATTGCTTTTTACATCACACGCCTTCCTTTGGGTTTGATTTCCGAGGAGTATCTTTCAGTAGGTTTTTCATGAATATTTATTAGTAGTAAAAAAACTCTCAGACTTGGTCTGAAATATCTATTTTGTTTTCTCACTGATCATTTAGCTGAATGTAGAATTCTAAAATGACAATGTTCTTTCAGCACTTTGCAGATATTATTATACTATCTTGTGGTCTCTTATTATTTTTGAAGGGTCTGCTGATAATCCTTTGTGTTTTCTCATTGTTTGCTTATGACTTTGGTGTTCTCTATTTCACCTCAGTGTATTTACTATAGTTATCTTTTTTGGGTCTAAGTTGCTTTTAGAATCTGAGAGATCATGTCTTTCATCAATTCTGGGAAGTCCTCAGCCATTACTTCTTTCATTCTTTCTACTTCTCCTTTCTGTATTCTGTCATTCTGATTCCCTATTTGGTCAGTATTGGGGCTTTTCAATCTATCCTATATCTCTTAAGTTTGTCTGTCTTTTGTCTATATTGTGTGATGTTAAATTGAAATAGATCAATTTCCTTTGATCTGTTTTTGAGTTCACATGTTATTTCTTCAGCAGATTTCAATCTGTTGAAATTGATTGAACTTAACCCATCCATTGAGTTAAATCATTTTAGGAATTACGCTTTTTTTTGTTATTGGACATTCTACTTGTGTTTTTCAAATTTTCCTGGTGTTTTTTCTTTTTGTCTTATTTTTTTGTTTCCTTTATGTCTTTAAGCATTTTAAACATATACTCTGTATCTGTGTTAGCTATTCGTGCATAATGGTATTATCATAACTTTCTGGTTTAAAACAACACACATTTATTATTTCACAATTTATATAGATAAGGAGTCTGGGCACAGCTTTGCTGATTGTTCTGCAAACCTGTAAATAAATGTGTTGGCTAGGGCTGGTTTCTCATCAGGGGCTCATTTGGGGAAGGATTTGTGTCAGTACTCATATGATTGTTAGCAGCATTCAGTTCCTTGCAGGCTGCCAGACTGAGAGCTCAGTTTTTTCTGGCTGTCAGCTACAGGGCACCTCAGCGATATGCCATGTGGCCCTGTCCATATGGCATCTCACAACATGGCAGCTTGCTTCCCCAAAACCAGCAAGGGGAAGAGTTTATTAGCAAGATAGGCATTACCATCTTATGTAACATCACCACATACACATAAGCACATGAATCTCATCACTATTTCCATATTCTCTTGGTTAGAAGCAAGGCACACATGATGCCCATACTTAGAGGGAGAGGATTACAAAAGGCATGGACACTAGGAGACCCTGTGTTAATGGGAGCCATCCTACAGTCTGGCTTCTATGGCATCCATTAGTTCTATGATATGTTGTTTTTGGGAGAACTAATTTTACTATTTATTATTTCTGCTGACATGCTAGAGTCTTTCCTTGTGTGTTTTGTAATTTTGAATTATGAGCTCTTTAGTGAGGTTTTTATATATGGTGCTTTGGCTAGGCATATTTTTAATCCTAATTTCTCATGTTGGAGTTTCTTCAGTTGCCAATGTAATCTTGAAAATGAAGTCCACATGATGATAAACTCATGCTAATGAATTTTTAGGAGATTTCTTTCTTTTACATAGAGTATAGTCTAGGATAAGTAAGCTTCTCCTAGGTTTTGTAGGTGTATAAGTAAGCTTCTCCTAGGTTTTGTAGGTGTATACATATACATTTTTTTACCCACTCCACAATTCACATTCTGTATACCCCTTCAAGGAACTTGGTGTATGTATGAGTCTCAGTGTAACTTTTCTATCACACAAGGGT